CCTGTTTCTTGTTCCCCTAAGAAGATGTGCACTTACTACCCTTTCTTAGCAACTTCTTTGCACTAACATGGACATATGCACCTTTTTGTTTATTTAATATATTCCTCACTGAATATCCCTCTCTGTTGGAAGGTTTACCCGAATTGGCACACACCTCTGTTGCAGAAATTGTCACATTACATTGAGGATGTTTACATGCCTATCTCCCTCCTGACACATATACCCACGATGACACCAGATCTTAGAGCAGCAGAGACTCTGTGGCAGATACACAGCTCCAGGTCCCTTTAGAGTGTTGTCTGGCATGTGGCGAGGTGAAGGCAGACTTACATGGTTTAGTGGGAAACAAACTTACTCAAGTAAGAAGACTTGGGATTGGTTTTGGCTTTGATGCTGTCTATTTCTATGACCTTGAGAAGTCATTGAACTCTATTTCTCTCATCCATGATACATATTACCAACTATCTGACTTGCCTGCACACAGGGCTTACATTCAGTTGATATGGTTACATCAGTTTTTAAAATATTGAAACACTTCTATACAGCTGGTGAATAGTCTTCACTCCAACCCCCAGGTACTTCCCTAACCACACTTACTCCCCCCCTGTAGCCCCCAGATTTCCTTTTGATGGTAACCAAAAGGAGAGTATACCTCAGGAGGCTTCTAGAGCCCTGCCCTGGCACTAGGGCTGCCATCCCTTCTGATGAGTCAATGCGCTTCTGTTCTACCTGCTGATAAATACTGTGAATGTCACTCTTGGCTCTGCCATAGGGTTGGGGTGTCACCAAATGATACAGAGCACATGCAAACACTTTGCACACTGTGAAGGGCTGTATACATAGACATCCTGTCCATAATTCCCCAGAAGGGATTAGAGCCACAAAGGAGGGAAGGGGCTTGTTTCTAAATTACAACTCACCCTGTATTTAGTTGAAGGCTGAGGAAGGACTTGGTGGGGAGGGCTTGACATGCTTACAAGCTGACTGAAGGGAGTTCACACAAAAGTTCAGGTGGACCCCAGGATGAAAAAGAGTGTTTCTCACAAAACCTCCTTAAAAGTGACTTGTTCGAATTACTCGCTGCAGCAGCCTGGGATTCAATTTGCAGCTCTTTTAAGCACATACACCATCAGCTCTGTTCTCCCATCCCAGCCCGATTGCTCACAATTAGAAGCCCATTTCACTCTGCCCTTAGTTTGCAGGTGTCTCCTTAGGTAGGACAAGAGCAACCTGCAAGTGGAAGGTGGAGGGTGGGGAGAGGAGACTGGCTGGAATGAGGGTTTGCACGATCTGGTATTTATGGAAAATTTGATGTGCTAATGAACCTGAGGACCATCAGGGCTTTCTCAAGGCAGGATGGTCTCTGTCAACAGACCAGTTAGCACACAATTATTGGCCCTTCCTGAAAGCTTATCTGAGGCATTCTTTGAACAGTGTGTGCCTGAGTGAACTGCACTCTCCATTACCTGTATAGGTTCTCTTTATAATCTGCCAAAACTGTCTGCCTCTTCTACAGAGAAAAGTGCAGGATTCTCTTGAACAATCCTCCAGAGATGCTGAGGTTTTCCTCACTTTGGGGCGAGGGATTGGGGGGGTCTCAGGCTATTCTGCTTACTCAAGTCAGTACTCAGGCAAAAACTGCAATAGGTCCCTCTCCAGCTCCCTTTATTCTTTTCACCTCCTTATTTCTGAAAGGAGAAGACAGCATCTCAGAGCAGAATAGCAATGAAAAGCACTGTGACTTTGGGAACTAGTGAAACTTGAGTGGGCCTTCCTCACTCTTCAGATTCTTCACTCTAACAGGAAATGAGCATAAGGATCATGTTATTTTTCTCCTAATTCCCATCCTTGTGCCACAATTAAAGTGAAGTTACTCACACCCTTTCAATGACTTACCTAATTGATTGTCCTCTTGTGGGACTGACCTTTAGAAAACAGTAGAGTAAAGGTCAGAAAATTGCATCAAAGATAGCCCAGCATGATGAACAAGATGATGGTGGTTGGGGGGGGAGCGGGGGAAGCAGATGCATTGGTGGCAGGTAGGGATGGGGGAGGGAGAAGGGGAAGGAAAGGAAAGCTCCTATTGTGGCTGTTCTCTAGCCTGTCCTCCTCTTTGGGTCACATCTTATTCCCACTTAAGGCTTGTTAACTTCCTTCTTTCCTGGACCTGGTTGGTGAGTGGCCAAGTCAGGAGTAAGCGGATGGAAAAGCCAGTGAAAACCCCAATGATGATGGAGTGGCCAGCTTACCTGTAGGCAGGGACAGGCAAGCCTCCAAATACCATACACCTGTGTCCCACCTCTGTCCTTCAGCCCACCCTAACCTAGAGGGGCAAACTTCCCCAGAGTAGCTGGGACAGTTATTGGCCATTGGCTCTTCAAAGGGGGAATTCGACACCATTAAGAAAGTGAAGACTTTACCTTGAAATGAGGCTGCCTCTGCTTCCCAAGTACAGTCTGACCAGTAGTCAATCACCCACTCACCCAATAAAGAAACATGATTCAGCACCTGTGTCCACATGTGGAGGGAGGCAGGCTCATGTGCAACAGCCAGAACACTGGGATTATTTAAGTACATTTCCACTTGTCTCTAAGCTCCTTACTGGCCATGACTATATCTTATTCATCTGTGAGTTCCAGATGCTCCTTGAATATTTGTTAAATGAACAAATGAGTAAATAAAAGAATGAATGAATGAACCAAATAAATCTTATCCTTGCAGGTGACTGTATGACCTGGAATAAGTCATTTAACTTATCTGAGCCTTGGTTTCCTAATCTGCATTGTAAGGATCATCAAATTGATCTGAAGTCAGTACAATTTGTTTTGTTTGATGTTAACATTCTGAGGAGAGAGCAGATCACTACAATGTGTTGGGTGGACTGGTTTGTTTAGAATACTTGTGTTTGACAGAGATGGCATGTAAAGGATTTAGACTCTGTTTTCTGCAGTCCTTTGACCTGCCTGCTCAGGAGACAAAGAGGTATTGAACTGGAGTCTGAGGACTCTAAAGTTAGAATCCTGTTTCTGCTACTCATCAGCTCTGTGGTCTCAAGGACTATAACTCTCTGAACCTTACTTTCCTCCTTGGAGAGTGATAGTAATGAGATTTGTTCTGGTGAGTTCTTGGGAAAGTTAAGTAGGAAGTTCTTGGAGGAAGAATATGGAAAACTGTAGAGAAGCTGTCCCTGCCCCTGGCGTGGCCTCGGTCTAGTTCTCCCTGCTGCCTCTCACGCTCTGTGCCTATTGCTACCCCTTGGTATTTGTGTGGAGTTACCCTTCTTTATTCACTTTCCCCTCCCTTCCTTGCCACCCCTACTCATTCTTGAAAATGAATTCATGGCTTACTTCCTTCATAAAGCATTCGTGGACTACTTCAAGCTACAGGAATCCCTCCTGCCTCTCTCCTGACTGTTTTTGCTCAGCATCACGCAATCTCTCACTTTATCCCTCTGCTCTATGTGTGTTTTTTAAACCTAGGTCTACTAAACTCCCTTGAAGAATGTCCGTTACACTTTCATATTCACCATGGTAACAAGGCAGGGAGCTAGACACATGCACTATGCACTTCCAAGCCTGTGTGCTGCAGAGATCACACTGTCCCTTCTCCTTTTCCTCGTAGTACATTTCCTCTCTTCCCACCTGTCCACTCCCTACTTCTCCTTAGGGACCAACACAGATGGTGCCTCCTCTGCTACTTCCTCTCTTGTTTCCCTTTGTTTAGAGCTGTGCTTCCTTAGAGCTCATCATGATGCGGGCTTCTACCGTGACTTGGATGTCTGTCAGTCAGCTGTGTAGGCACCTACTTCCCCCACAGGTTATGATCTCCTGGAGGATGCAGTACACGATGTGTACATTGTCGCACACACCTTCCTACCCTGAAAAGCTTGGAACATATTATACATGCATTCTCTTGTTTATTGAGTACCTACTATGTGCCAGAAACTGTTAATTGCTGTCGACAACATGGTGAGCAAAATAAACATGAGCTTCCCTCTTTGGAGCCTATAGTGTGTAGGATCCAGACATGGATCACATTCTTGCAGAAAGGGATGCAAAACTGCAACTCCTGTGCCTACTGCAAAGCAAGGGGGGCTGAAACCAGAAGAGGAGGTCACAGGTGTCAGAGTGGGCTTCCACGATGAACTTCAGGAAAGGTGCTCTATAAATGTTTGAAGAATTACATGGAATTAAACAGTGACTGCTCAATAAATACTCCTTGATTGGTTGACTGATTGTTGGCAAAGCCTTCAGAGATCCTGAGAAGAAAGGGCCTCGGGTCCCCATCATTCTTATTACATAATTATTTCAGTGCATTTAAAGCTTCCCATTTTTCATCTTATACTTTAAACATCAGGGAAAACTGATGGGCCAACTTTATAATATTTTAAAATGACTCTATGGTGTTTTGGAATATTACATGGCTATAAGAGTTTATGTATATTTAATATATGTATTAAAATATGCAGTAAGCCCATGGCTGATTTTCTCTAAGGACGTCTCAGTGCCGAGGTGGGACTTAAATGTTTAATACTAATACTAATACTCATAACTCATATTTCTCTAGTGCTTTTCATCTTTAGGATCCATAAAGCCTGTGAGTAGCACATCACGTGGGTGCAGCTGGGCTTGCCAGCAGGCTGACAGGGACCACATATGGCCTCTTGCCTTCTTCTGGAGGGAGAAGGGGTGACTCGAGCTTAAGGTTTCACTCCTTCTCCAGCATTCTCTGCCTTTCCAGACACAAATTCCCTTTGGCTCTCTCTGAAAGGCTCTCACTTACATACAACTGCTGCTGCCAGCCATATGTAACAGACACTCACTGCCTCAGGACAAGGAAGAAAGTGACTTTCTACCTCTGGAGTACGAAAAGGCACATATCACTGCTGTAGCTGGTTGAGGACAGGATGTGGAGCTGGAGATGGAGCAGCTGGAGAAGGGAAGTACAAAGGGAGTCTCCACTTGTTATCTAAACCCACTCCCTACTCCTTCCTTCTCTAGGTCACCGAGACCAGGACCGGTCCTCTGGGCTGCAGCAACTATGACAATCTGGACTCAGTCAGTTCTGTCCTGGTACAGAGTCCGGAGAACAAAGTGCAGTTACTTGGTAAGCAGCATTGTGATAGTTTTCATACCTGTCACATCTGATTAAAAAACAAAAAACAAAAAAAACCTAGATCAAATAGCAGGATAAAATTCTGCCTGTTCCATTTGATCAAACCTTCTTAAGACAAGCACTACCACAAGTTCTGGGACCTGTATTTAACAACTTCCCATCATGTTTTAAGAAACTTTCTGGTATGGTTTGCCCTATACCCCAGATCTATTGCTCATATCACATGACACCTCAATCATCCCACTTCACATTCCATCTCAAGTCCTCTGTCACAATCCTATAAGGAACAGCATACCCATCCTTATAAGCCTTTACCTAGTTCAACGATCTTCATTTCCCAGAAAACTCTCTGCTTTATCCCAAAGACACATTGAGGAATAGCTGGCCTTTACAGAGTGGTTATAAGACTACCATCCAGCTCAATTAAGAGCTATACAAAGTGGGGAACCACTACTTACTGGAACCACAGTTTGAAGGTGGCCCCTGCTTTCTGTTATCTGTCTGTGATCTTGCAAATGGGTGATTCAAGTCAGGAGATGAGTTTGAGAAGAATAAGAATTTGATTTGAGACAGAACAAGCAAAACTGTGAAAGAAAAGGGAAAGAAAACCACACTAACTCTGGAGGTTGGGGGCTAAGGGCAGACGTGCATCTCTTGCTCTCTGTTCCCCACAGACATCCTGGGGGCAGGGCTATGCAAACTGGTTCAGTGGGAAAACTTTATTTTTCTCAAGGCCTAACTGAATTGTACTCTGTTTAAGATATTACTGTCTCAGCATTACAAAATCAATAACCCTCACCCAGGATCTACGATTACAAATTCCAGGCAACCTGAGTCAAATGTGACCCAGCAATGCTTTAGGAATAAAGAAATATATAAGAAAGAGGATTAAAAACTCATTTATTTAGAGCTACCTAAGGCAATTAGCATTCCTCTTCACTGAGGTCCCTGGATGGGCTGGGTTTGTGTCTGGAAAGTAGCAGTGAGTGAAGTTCAAAATGTCTAGTTGTTCATTTGGAATAGTTTATGCTATTTAATTTTATAGCCCATCACTCATGCAGACATTTCTCGGGGCACTTATTTTATAGCATGGGAAGTGTTCTGGTGAGGAGGAGGGATGTGATGGGGGAGGTGAAAGGAACGAACTTGGAAAGGGTGAGTGCTGAAAGCAAGCATGTGGATGGGGTGTGTGAGGAGAACCACTCAAATGCCACAGTAGGCACAGTGCCAAGAAAGGAAAATTTAGGGGCAGTTCAGAATTGGAGGTAGACCTCAAGAAAGAACAACAAACACCCACTGCTGCTGGCAATTTTAAGTTATATTTTGAGGTCTGCTGAGACTGGGATACATACTTTGAGTTCTCTGGTTTCCTGCCAAGGACAAGGTCAAGGGCCTAAAAATAAACAGCTGGCAGACATTTGAGGAAAGAGGAGCTCACCATATCCAGAAATTCTCATATTCCTCACTTTCCTGGCACAAGGTTTCACAATGTCCCTACTGGGGGAGCCTCCTGCAGATCTGACCTCGAACGTGGCCCAGACTGCATCCAAAGGCGTGCCTACCCTTTGTTCATCCTTTGGTAAGCTTCCAGCAGCCGCCTTGTGAGTGGCTTGAAGCCAACTAGGAGTATGTTCTGCTGCAGGTAAACTGGTAGTTACTGCAGTTGGGTGGAAAGCTCAGAGCAATTTAGTGCATTATCCAAGATCAGAAGCTAATTGGAAGAGAGCTGAGAGCCATTCATATCTATCCAGGCATGACTGATCTCAGGGCATTGACCACCATCCCATCTTCAAATCTTCTTAAGAGTTAAATCCTATTGAAATAGGACAGGCAGTCCCAGTTATATAGTATTAGCTGATGAGACAAGGGCAGGATCTGAAACTAAGCAGATTCTATGAGTGCTGTGATTTGGGCAGGTCACTGTGGTCTTAGGGCTTGGATTTCCTTACTTATAAAAACCTGAGTATGAGCACAAATGTTATTTGCAATCATATATAAAAAGTACCTGGACACTGTATACCTACAATATCTGTTCCTGTCTCTTAACCAGGACAGCTTCCCTGGTCATCAGGGCTGGGGTGGAAGGCCCAGAAGGGTCAGAATTCAACGATGTCCTAGGATGCCTACTGCTAATCTGAGTTAAGCTATAAACAGGAGGATGGCTACAGAAGGCAGGGCAAAAAGCCCATCAAACCTTGTTTTCTCGCCCAAGAGGGCTGTAAGCTCTTCTTTTATCTGAAACATCTTCCCGTTTCCATCCCAGAAATGCTGATGTGTAGCCAATAAGCCTGTGCTTATGATATGCATGCTCTCAATTTGGCTGATCTGAGGGGTTTGGCTAAGCCTTGGGCTTTGATGTTCCCATCTGCATTTTCAGATCCTCCCCCATCTGTCACTGGGGCAGCAGTAGCCTTCTCTCCCAACAAGCTCAGCAGGATCAGGCCCTGGGGTGACCATGCTTGGACCCAGGATGCACAAGTCAGCAGAACCCCAGCTGGGGTTCCTGCAGCCTTGGGCATGGAAAACTGAGTCCTCACTGGTTCTTCCCAGAGATTCCTTGACACCTCCTTTCCCCAGGCCTTCAGGTGCTGCTGCCTGAGTATCTGCGTGAGCGCTTTGTAGCCGCAGCACTCAGCTACATCACATGCAGCTCTGAGGGTGAGCTCGTCTGCAAGGAGAATGACTGCTGGTGCAAGTGCAGCCCCACCTTCCCTGAATGCAACTGCCCTGATGCTGACATCCAGGCCATGGAGGACAGCCTGCTGCAGATCCAAGACTCCTGGGCCACTCACAACCGGCAGTTTGAAGAGTCAGGTGAGCAGCCAGCTGACCCAGAATTCCTCCCTGTCAATGAGAGGTGGCTGTGAGGTGCAGAGCAAGAACATGGGGAGAACAAAACTTGAGAGTTGAGGATCCTCATGAGGATCCTGACATGGCCAGTTACTGGTCTGTAACCTCAACCAGGTTATATCACCACCCTGAGGCTCAAGTGGTTTCAGTTTTTTCTAGGACATTGGTATTATGTCCATTTACATAGGTGTGTTTTAAGGACTTAATAAAACTAAGATAAACGTAATTAAGGACATAGACCTTGTTTGTCTTATTTGCTACTGATTCCACAGTGCCTAGAGCAATGCTTGCACATAAGGTTCACTATAAATATCTGTTGAATAAATGAAGTGCATAGAATGGTTCTAGATGACATCCAATACAATTCAGTTGTTGTTTGTTGCTGTTAAAGCTAATATCAGTTACCTTGAGACCCAGATTCAAGAGAACTAGTTTTGCATCCTTGCCTGGTTTGACAAACTTTATGACCTTGGATTAGCCGTGCAGCTTCTCAAGGTCTGAGTTTCCTCACCTGAAAAAGAGGGAGGGTGATAATAGTGAATGGAGGGCTCACATGAGATCATGTAGATGAATTCAATGTATAAATAACTCTGCATGGTATATTTGCACATTTCAACACTACATGAATGATATTTATGTGGATATAGTTCAAAAACATAATATTAAATAAAACAAAGCAAGACAAAAAGGTTACATTATATATATATATTTATATAATGTCTTCATATAATACTATAATTTATTAAATATAATACATGTTTAATACCATTTATATAATGTTTACAAACAGGATACCTAATGCATGATACTTTTATGGATAACTATATTTGTAAAAAAATTAAAAATATATGATAATGGAAAAGAAAACATCAAGAGAGTGGTTATATCTGGATAGAGAGAAAGGGAAGTTTAGGGCCCTCCTGTGCAGTATATTTTGTTTGCTTTATTTCTTAAAGAAAAAAATCTGAAGCCAATATGGCAGAATGGCAAAAGCTAATGGCAGACACATGGGAGTTTGTCTTTTTGTTCTGCATGCTCTTCCATATACTCAAATGTTTTAACTGTGCACATACTAGATGTTAGTGCCATTACTAGGCATGCTTCTCCAGTCTTCCGGGGAAATGAGGAACCAGGTATATGAGAAATCAAAATGAGCTGAGGCCCCAGGGGTTGCCATTTTAAGTCCTAGACAAGGCATTTAGTAGCTAAGGAGAATATCACATTCCAGTCCCCAGCCCCATGCTTTGGGCTATGGTGGTGGGTTATGGTCTGTAACATGACTTTGGGCCTTTACTACTATGAGTTACTGCTAATGAATAAATCAGGGCTCTCTAGACCTCCACCAGGAGACCTGACAGCTGCAGGTCCCAAGGAAAAGCAGAGTAATGCACAGAAACCTGAGCATGAGTTCAGAAGCCATGGTGTGCCCAGGAAGCTCTAAGGAGAACCTAGACTCAGCAGGAACTTAGAAGCAGAAGGCAGATCGCTTCTAAATTTGCTGTAGGGCAGAATGGGTATCTGCCCAAGAGCTGAAGCTGAAAAGAGAAGAAGAGTATCTTAGACAGTCAGAGAGGAGGACATGGATGGGAGGGGCCGGTCTCAGGGACTGGAGGATTTCTAGAAAGATTTCTGAGCTAGGTGCTGCATCTTCTCTGGGCCTACTTGTGCCAGTCTGGGTGCACACTGACCTTCATGAGGGCCCCACATGTTCCATATGGGTGTTGTGGCGCTATTGAAGAGGATTGGCCTTGAGATAGTGTCATGGATGTCTCAGAAGGAAGTATAAAGGGGGAAAGAGATGCACCCAATGTCATTTGCAATAGCAGGAGCTCTGGCCCCTCTGAGGGTAGCAGAGATCTATTTTGAAATTCAGAGGCATAGGGGTAGAAAAGATGACAAAATTCCCGAGGCCATATTTTACAACATGTTAATTATTTCTCAATAAAGGTGTTGATTTTTTAAAAAGCACCTGGGAGAATGGGTGTGCAGCCTCCTTCCTCATGCAGTAACTGAAGGGCCCTGGATCTGGGCAGTGTCCACCTGTCCCTACCAGAGCTCTGCATAGCTGCCCCTCAGCTCAGGTCCTGCGTTCTTGTTCACAGAAGAGTTCCAGGCCCTGCTGAAAAGGCTGCCCGATGACCGGTTCCTGAACTCCACAGCTATCTCCCAGTTCTGGGCCATGGACACCAGCCTTCAGCACCGCTACCAGCAGCTGGGAGCTGGCTTGAAAATGCTGTTCAAAAAGACCCATCGGATTGTCCGCCGGCTCTTCAACCTCTGCAAGCGCTGCCATCGCCAGCCTCGCTTCCGCCTGCCCAAGGAGAGGTGAGCACCCCCCGGATGCTAGAGCAGAGCTCAGCACCTCCCCTGATAGCTGCTGAGGCCAAGGAGAACCCTCTGTCCAATGTAGGGGATCTGGGAGTGGTGACTCACACATAGCCTTCCAGTTATCTCAGCCTACTCATGTGTGTCATTCTCAGCTGTGAGTTGTGTCTGAAGTGAGACAGAGAAAAAAAAGATGGGCTGATTTTACTTTCATCTAAATTATAGTTGATTCAAATGTTATTCTAGTAATGCTCTAATTCTCATTTACTGATTTCCATTTTAATAAGTCTAAGAAAGAAAGGGATGGAGTTAAATTTCATCCAGCTATTGCATCTGATGAAAAACACACACACTGGCTTGAGTCAAACAAATGATTCTACTCTGCGTCACAGGAGGAAAGAAAGTGGAGACCTGCACCCTCAGGGATAGAGTGGGGCTGTATCATTACAGGCATCCACTTGTTCATCCACTCATTGATTTACATATTTGACAAGTTTTTGAATCCATATTCCATGCCTTACTATTAAGCTGCAGGGATATTCATGAGTTGGAAAGATTTAACAAACAGAAACATAAAAACTAGAAAATTATAACTATGTGGCAACCACTTAAATTTATGGTGGTGGAACATAAATCAAAGGGATAGTCTCCTAGAGGTAAAAACCAGAAAGGAAAGCTTCCTTGGAGAAGGAAGTCTTGGAAGAGAGGGAAATTGCTTTGGTACACGTGAGGTAGGACAGTCTTCCAAGTCAAGGAGGCCACCTTCACAGCCAGCAACCCAGTGGTGCAGCTCTATCAGAGGCACAGGTAAGAAGGGAAGCGTACAAAGAAGAGGTTTTGAGAGGAGTTCATTTATTCTTCTTTCAACAAATAATGATTAAATGCTTACCATGCATAGAAACAATTCTCATTTCTGAGAAGCGGTTGGTCTCAAGACAGTGTTCCTGCTTTCATGGTATTTATTAACAGGGAAGCAGTTTATAAACAAGTAAACAATAAATAAATAATTTCAGATACTGATAATTGTCATGGATTGAATAAAACAGGGTGATGTGATGGAGAGTGAGTGCAGTGGTTCTTCTGGCAGGGACATCAGGGTAGACTTCTTTGAAGAGGTAACATAAGAGCTAAAATCAAAATTTCAAGAGAATCAGCCATAGAAAATTTCTGCTCTTGGTGGAGGAGTGAGAGGAGCAGAGAGAAGAGAAAGGACAGAAACCTTGAAGAGGGAATGAAAGTTGGCAAGAAGTTAGAAGATTTGAAGAGCCATCTTATTTAGAAGACTGAAAACAGATTTGACACAAAAGATGCTGGAGATCCTCCGTAGGTTTTTGAATAAGGGAATGAAGTAGGACTTAGGAGAGATGAACCTAGTTGCTCTCAGTACAAGTTTGGTGTCCAGTATTTCTGGTGCTGACCCATCAGACACAGAACTCTAGGCTTTGCTCAATTAGTCCAAAGTAGTAAAGTAGAGTTTCCACCACTCAGAGATCTCAGGGATTTTATCTTCCTCATTGCCTTCCATGCCTAGTGGTCAATGTCTTGCTACCCTTAGGGAGGGTGTCAGTGTGTGACTTCTGTTCACTCTTACTTCATTTTATCTCTGCTCCCAAAGGTCCTTGTCCTACTGGTGGAACCGAATCCAATCCCTCCTCTACTGCGGGGAAAGCACCTTTCCTGGCACTTTCCTGGAACAGAGCCACAGCTGCACCTGCCCTTATGATCAATCTTCCTGCCAGGGCCCCATCCCATGCGCCTTGGGCGAAGGGCCCGCGTGTGCCCACTGTGCTCCAGACAATAGCACACGCTGTGGGAGCTGCAATCCAGGCTATGTGCTGGCCCAGGGGCTGTGCCGGCCAGAGGTGGCTGAGTCCCTGGAGAACTTTCTTGGGCTGGAGACAGACTTGCAGGACCTGGAGCTAAAGTACCTGCTGCAGAAGCAGGATAGCCGCATTGAGGTACACTCCATATTCATCAGCAATGACATGCGGCTGGGCAGCTGGTTTGACCCTTCCTGGAGGAAGCGCATGCTGCTCACCCTGAAGAGCAACAAGTACAAGCCTGGGCTGGTGCACGTGATGTTGGCCTTGTCCTTGCAGATCTGTCTCACCAAGAACAGCACCCTGGAGCCTGTCATGGCCATCTATGTCAACCCCTTTGGGGGCAGCCACTCTGAGAGCTGGTTCATGCCTGTGAATGAGGGCAGCTTTCCTGACTGGGAAAGGACTAACGTGGATGCAGCTGCCCAGTGCCAAAACTGGACTATCACCTTGGGGAATAGGTGGAAGACTTTCTTTGAGACAGTTCATGTTTACCTACGGAGCCGCATCAAGTCCCTGGATGACAGCTCCAATGAGACAATCTACTATGAACCCCTGGAGATGACTGATCCCTCTAAGAATCTGGGTTACATGAAAATTAACACCTTGCAGGTCTTTGGCTACAGCCTGCCCTTTGACCCAGATGCTATCCGGGACCTAATTCTCCAGCTGGACTACCCATATACTCAAGGTTCCCAGGACTCTGCACTCTTGCAGCTCATTGAGCTCAGGGACCGGGTGAACCAGCTTTCTCCACCTGGCAAAGTCCGACTTGACCTTTTCTCCTGCTTGCTCCGGCATCGGCTCAAGCTGGCCAACAATGAGGTGGGCAGGATCCAGTCCTCCCTGAGGGCTTTCAATTCTAAGCTGCCAAACCCTGTGGAATATGAAACCGGCAAACTCTGTAGCTAATGGGCGGCCCACTTCAGCACTGGGCAAGGAGGCAATCCATGAATCTGGGGTACAAAGATAATCTAAGCCCTCACCTTAGTGCCAACAGGGTATGCTCCCACCACGAGACTTTCAGCATCCAGCAGATGGGACCTGGAGGCTTGAGCTGAAGCAGACGAGAGAGACAGCTACTGTGCACACACGCGTACACAGACACACACACACACACACACACACACACACACTGGCACAGGGAGGCTACAGCTCAGCAGCCTCGGATCTGTAAAGTCGATCGGTGCTTTCTAAAATGAATGCAATTGAAAGAAAGGAGCCAAGGAAGAGATTAAGAAAAAGAACCAGCCGAACCATGAAACAAACAAAAATCCTTAAAAGTGATTCTTGTCATTCAAGAAAGCAAGAGGGGACAACAATGGGAGGGGTCGGAGCTCTTCCTCCCCCTCTGTGGAGTCACTTTTGTATTCTTTTTAACCAGATTTCTTAAAATGTTGTTGTTTTGTGAATCCTGACATTGGTTCTTACTTTTGTATGCTGCCTCCTCTGTGCCCTCCCAAATGCTGACTGGGAAACATGAGAAGTACAACCAACAGAGGAACGAGTGCCAAGGGCAGGCAGCGGCCTCCTTGTTCCCCTCCCTTACTCCTCCTTCTCTGCTGCCTCCTCCCCCCACCAAGTTTCAGGGCCCTGGATTGTTACCAGTTCCCCTTGTGGTTCCTTCAGAGCTCCTTTCCAACAGCATCTCTCTGTCCAAGAAAGCAGCTCTATCAAGTTAGAGAGAGAGAGAGAGAGACAATGTGTAGGAAAATGTTCTTTTTTAAAAAAATAACAAAAAAACAAAACAAAATTATTTATTTTGTGATTGTTTTCCTTGTCAATCTGCTCCAACCACCTGAACATCTAAGTAAACATTTACCTGGTTTAATATATTTTTGGAAAGGCCTTTTTTAGTGGGAAAAAATGAGAGAAAAAAGAAAAAAAGGGTGTCGTTCCCTGTGTTACCTGGATTTTTCTTTTTAATTGCTATTTGCATGAGACAAGAGTGTCCATGAAGCAGAGATAGTACTGTGTGGGAGGCTGGTTGATTGACAGATACGCAAGTTACACAAGGGAATGAGTGCCTGTGTTGACTGGGGTGTGAGGGGTGTATGAGAGAGAGAGAATAAATGAGAAGTGAGGTAGAACTATCCCAGAAGGTTATCTCACTACACTCCCACCACCTTTTCTTCTCTCTAGGTGTGAGGGCTAACATGGGTCCTCAAACCAGGATTTCCCATGATGGGGAGAGTAGTTAAAAAGGCCTTGCTTCGAAGAGGAACTGCAGTCTTTGCACTGGGCAAAGTCCTGCTAAAGGGGCTCCTGTTTGCCGACACTGCTGCAGACATCAGGAGAATTTCCCATACACTGCACCTCATGGTCTGGGATCACCCTTTCCCAGAGAAAACTGGGAAAGATGGAAATGTAGCATCGGCTCCCTCCATTCTGTCTGATTACCACATTCCCAACCAAATAGCAGCTTTGACATACAGGACACAGAACAATGCATCCTTTTCTCCTAGTGCCTCCCTCCAGGTGGTATGAGAATCACTTCATAGCATCTCTTTTGGAGAATCACTTCTCTGTCTATGCTTCACATTCCAACCACAATGCATAGGCATGACAACCCCCATTTTATTCAGGAGGGAGTCACCACATAAATATGAAGTATCTCATTTCCTACCTGTGGTATATATCTCAGTTGGCATAAAGTGAAACGGAAGACAATGAGACGATGATTATGTCTCTCTGCCTGGGGGCCTTCTGTGTTTATTATTGCATGCGGAAGAATTTGACATTATATTTAATCATTGCATGGTCTTTCAACCTATAAGAAACTGAAATCCTTGGTAGATAAGCAGCCTGGGGCATTTCTTTCTTCATCACTTTTCTGAAGGCTTCCAGGGTAGCAATACAGAGTGATAGGATGATCTGGGGTGAGCACGGTTATTGGCTGTCTATTTCTAGTTAAAGCCACTGCTTGCTTTGGGAAGTTTGTGCAGAGCTCCTCACCCATGGGAGATGGAATAGGCAGATGACACCATCAGCGGGAGTGTTGAGATGTAACCGATGAGGGTGCTTTTGGTGGGAAGGGGGTGACAAGTGGTGGGAAGGCTTTGATACCTTCCAGTGATGGGGTTTGAGTGGTAGATACCGGAGTCTAATTTTAGCGCTCTGAAAGTGTATGTCTACAGGCAGTAGGAGTATGGACAGGGACTCTTACTCATTAATTAAAGGTGCACCTTTAGCAAACTGTCAACTGCCAGGCACAGCAGTACTCAGAGTGGGGAGGACAGCCATTGAGAATGTACAGTGCACAAAGCAGTGTGGAGTCTCCGTAGCACAAGCGTGACTGCCCTAGTGGGAACAGAGTCATCACATGAGGGCTCACATCCCACCTAGGGTATTCCCACAGTTGTGGTGAGGGGTGGGAAACCTCAGCCATCTGTCTTTGTATCAGCGACCAGACTGGGAGAAAATTGCACCTATGGAGTTATTAGTAAGGATGCTGTGTCTGTTTATTTCAGAAATACGAGATCTCTTGTCTTGGGAGGGTTTCAGGAAGATGATGGTGTGATGTATTGTGGTTTTAGGGAACATATGCATCCATTTCCTAAGCTTTCCACATCTTGCCTGTCTGGATCTTGCCTGTCTGGAGGTTTAAACTATGAAGCTTAGGGTACCAACTCCACCTAAAAGTATTACTACACATTGGTAAATATTTAGTGGTGCCTTTGATTCCAGATGCAAGTATCATATTGATAGAGGGCCTAACAAATATTAATTACAGAGGTAGAAATGTCTATATTTGACCTAGTCATCTGTTTACCTGTGATAGATGTCTGATTTGTGTGTTCTGGGACAGTGATAGGTTGCTTGGTGTAGAAGAGCTTATGTCAAAGGAGCAGGCCAAAGACTTTGCTTCTAGAACACAGGTGGAAGAAGAGGGGGTGTAAGGGATGAGTAGCATCCTTTAAGAGGCTTTCAAAGGCTTGAAACCATGAGTTTAGCACAGAGTTTTTTCAGAAAGCTTGGCTAAGAAATGCCGTAATAAGAAAAGGCTGTCCTCAGTTGAAACTGTCAACTTTAAAGTCTATAATAACCAAAATATGTGAACCACCTATTCACAGACACAGTTACAAATAAAGAATTGTCATGAATTAGTACTGGATTGTCAATGTTGGTGAACTCATTGTGGAATTAAGAGCAAAATCACAATATACTTCCTACTATGCATTGGGTAATAACAATTAGGAATTCAAGTTTTAATTGTAACCCCAAAGAACTAATACATCAAATGCTAATCTGCCTTAATACTTGAGACTAATATTTCTAATACTAAATAATATATTTAATACCTGCTGCTAATAAAATATTGCTATGCTCTGCAAGCACACTCATGCATCAACAGCCAAAAACATAAATGAAGATCACTTCCAATACTGGGTATTACTAATAGTTTAGTTCCAGTTCTTCTGTGTTATTTTTTCTTTATCAAAATATAAAAATAGTGGTCATGATAGGCAAAGCTGCCTTGTAAGTAGACAGAATATGTTGCCTACATGATATCCTGTCCCAAAATGCCACTTGAAAGTCTGTAATTTCATCAGATAGGTTTATTCTTTTGCATTTCAGAAAAGTCTCTTTTTTATTTTTTTTGGCCATTATATTCTGCATGAAAACTAAAATACCCTGAAAAAGAAATCAGTCTTAGAAGTTAACCCAATGGCAAGATAGAAAATTAGATTTTTAGAGTTGGAAGATTTTTAGAAGTCATCTAGTAAAACAATCTCATTTTTGACATGAGGAAAAAGAGGTTAAAAAATTGAGAAGTTGGCTGGGCGCAGCAGCTCATGCCTGTAATCCCAGCACTTTGGGAGGCCCAGGCAGGTGGATCACACGGTCAGGAGTTCGAGACTAGCCTGGCCAGCATGGTGACACCCCGTCTCTACTAAAAACACAAAAGTTAGCCGGGCATGGTGGCACACGCCTATAGTCCCAGCTACTCGGGAGGCTGAGGTAGGAGAATTGCTTGAACCCAGCAGGCGGAGGTTGCAGTGAGCCAAAATCACACCATTGCACTCCAGCCTGGGTGACAACAGAGTGAGACTATATTCCCCCTCCTCTACCAAAAAAAAGAAAAAAGAAAAAACTGAGTAGTTTGCCAGGCCTGGTGGCTCATGCTTGTAATCCCAGCACTTTGGGAGGCCAAGACAGGTGGATCACTTGCGGTCAGGAGTTCGAGACCAGCCTGGCCAACACAGTGAAACCCTCTCTACTAAAAATACAAAAACTAGCTGGGCGTGATGGTGTGTGCCTGTAATCCCGGCTACCAGGAAGGCTGAGGCAGGAGAATCGCTGGAACATGGGAGGCAGAGGCTGCAATGAGTCAAGATTGCACTATTTATTGCACTCCAGCCTAGGCGACAGGGTGAAACTCCATGTCCTTCCTTCTTTCCTTCTTTCCTTCTTTCCTTCCCTCCTTCCTTCCTTCCTTCCTTCCTTCCTTCCTTCCTTCCTTCCTTCC